TGTTTTAGAAATCTTTTATGCTCACCAAGGCTGCATTTATTTGATCAAAAATACAGTAAAAACAGTAATGGAATATTGAAATATTATTCAAATTTAAAACATTAAAAAAAAACATTTTGAAGAAACATTTTGCTTATATTTGTGTAAACCAAGGTAAAAAAAAAATCAGGATTCTTTGATGAATATAAAGTTTCAAAGAACAGCATTTATTTGAAATAGAAATCTTTTGTAACGAACCTAATCTTTACTGTCACTTTTGATCAATTTAATGCATCCCTGATTATTAAAAATTATTACAGACCCCAAACCTTTTAATGATACTTAAAGGCGGTTAGTAAATATGCTCTATTGATCTGTGGTGGTCATATAAGCAATAAGAGTTTGAACCTGACTTTTTTTTTCTAATTTAGTTCCTACATCATTTCCTGTTTCTTTTCTCTCTGTGCTATCAATAAAGTGTCAAAGAAGCCGAAAGTAAAATGAAAAAAACACCAACATTAAGAAAACCCATTACCCAGTACAAAGAACAACCGTTCAAATGCTGTTTAAAGAGAGGCTTTTTGAGAGCCACACTGGCACTACTCAAAATGCAGCCATGATAGAAGGGTGTTTTGATCCAAGCAAGCCCATCATCTTTGCCTCAAGCTGTGCTGGCAACCATTTATGGTTTCTTAGAATACGTTGAATCCAGAAGCTTTGTGTGATTGCCAACGCTGGATGATAAGTGAGGGTGAAGGTGGGAAAAAACTGCAGTTGAGCCAGAGTGTGAGATGAGAATGGAAACTGGATATTGTACTACAGATCTGATCCCAGATAGATGTTCTGTCAGCACAGCAAGTGCTGAGCTGCCATCTGCCCTGAACAAAAAACATTTTATTGATGCGGCCTGGCATATTCAATATTCATTTTCTGCTGAAAGTCACAGTGAAGGTGAAAATAAATAAATAAATAAAAATAAAATAAACATTATAATGTAAACTATCCCTCAATGGCTATGAAAGTAACTTTAGACATCATTGTCAGTAGTGTTACTGTTAAATCTAAAACTACAAAAAAATTTTTTTGGTAATTGAAATAAAGCTGAGATAAAATATCATTATTAGATGAAAAATTTAGTAGAAATTTAAAAAATAGTTATAAAAATGACAAAAGCACATCACAGAATTGCTTAAACTAAAATTAAACTGAAAATATAAAAATAAAAACTAATTCGAAATAATAATAAATACTATAGCAGTATATAAATAATACTAAAATAACAATAATTGTGAGAGAAAATTCCATGCAGGTACAGCACTCCTAAAATTTGTGGTTAGTTCTTGAGAAGCTGTTTATATCAATCTCCAGCTTTGTATATTCTCCTTGTCAACATCTCTGCCATGTCAATGAACTTCTCATTGACACATAAAAATGTTTTGCTTCTGGTTAGAACTGTGTGTGTGCTTCTTACTGAATATCATTTGAGCTTCCATTTTACTGTAAGACCCCTCATTTTGCTTGGCTCCAGGTCATCCATGTGTGGGTAAAACCGTTACAACGCTGAAAGAACCCAATGTTCCCCATCAGCCCAGCAGAACAAGTCCACGCCGCCTGGCCCTGAGCGAAACCTCCAACGAGAGTGTAAACACGCTTGTATAAAAGCATCCATATTTCCATTTAGCAGGAAGTGTGTTTATTTACTGGAGAGCCAGTGAAATAAACACTGCTACCGTATATCTTTCTGTCTTGGCACCACTCTCAAAGCACTCTGAGAATTAAGAGCCAATCCACCATCTCTCTTTGCCTTGCCTTTCAATTTTAGATTTTTCAACATACATCATCTTTGAACATCCAAACAGAGTGCATGTTCACAAATAAATAAAAATGACAATGAGTGCTTGTATTAAATTCCTGCATAGAAACCCTTAAAAAATACAGTTGGACTTTTTTTCTGCAAGTTCTTCTGGAGTTTTTTTTGTAAAACTTGTGATAATGGCTGACTGATCGTACATCCTGCTTAATGCATTGCACCAAAAAAATACATAAATGGACATTAAATATTAATTTGAGTTTAAATTGTTATTATGTATGAAGAAAAAGAGCACAGAGTGATATGAGAGACATGAAACATCTGCATGGCAACAGTGAATTATACATTTCATCTGTGATTATACAAAATATATGTGTAGTATATATATATATATATATATATATATATTTGCCAGACTTAAATATATAAAAACATACACACACAAATGCATACATACATATAAGCCTGGCTTAACCAATTAGATATCAGAGATAAAATAATCCATTTTACAATAGTTTTTTTTTTTTTATTACAAAAATACAAAATTCAGATTGATCTACAATGTAACCATAATGCATAAATAAAATCATTATTATTTTTTTTAGGGTTACATTTGAGGTCAATCTGAATTGAGCACTAACCAGCATAAACTAGCCTGAAAATGTGCACTAATGTAAGCAGATCTGTTCAGCAGAGAATATTCTGATACAGTCAGGGAGTGTAATGGCTGGTTGTATACCCTGCAATCATCAGAGCTCTTTACGCACTCGGCCGCTGTAAGAGGCTGGATTGTTAGGAGATGCTCTAATCTGCTCTTCTGTTTACTACCTGTTAAGAGAACCGCTGTTTATTAGCTAATACATCAGTCATCTCTGAGTGTCTGTGATGAAGAAAAACGAGGCAGGCTGGTTTATATGCACAGTGTGTTTTATAATGACGCATGTGGTTGTGAGCAGTAGCTTTGGCCCACTGCCATCCCCCAGTGTGTTATTCCTCTGTCTGCTCTAGTGTATTTTAATGAAGCCATTTACTCGCAGATAGTGGAACAAATAAATCATTTAACAGTGTTTTGTCTCCAAGAGCTAATAAACGGCATTATCGTGCATTTACCGGCACATGCATGGAACACGGCCAGTTCTGCTGGGATATCTGTGTGTATGACCAGTGTTGGGAAGGTTACTTTGGAAATGTAATAGGTTACAGATTAGCATCTAACAATGGTTTGGAGAAAATTGTTAATTAAACAATTTAATTAATAATTATTAACAATTATTTGCGGCTTAATATTCACAGACACTAGTCCATATCGCGTTTTGATTCAAGTATACTGACCTACTTTTGATTCTCACTAAAGTAGTCATGAGACAACAAAAATGACATCAAATATATCTCAAATCTGTACCGTTGTCATGTAGGAATGTGTGTGTATGCTCAGGGTTTTAATGCACCGTCTAGTCACAGTCATAGACTAAATTTCAGTCTGCTCCTCACACAAAGCTGTCCCGTGACTTTAGAAGCTTTGAATATAGTACATGAGTCATACAGACTAATTTTAATACATTTTTTTGGTTCTTTTTAGAGCTCAAAAGCAACTCTCCCCATTCATTATATGGAAAAGAGCAGTCAGGACAGGAAGAAAGAAGAAAAAAAGTCTCACGGGTTTAGAACGTTATGAAGGTGAGTACATGATGAAAAAAGAAACAACAAAAAAAAGCATTAAGAAAAATGTAAGTAAATGATCAATCAAAACATATTTGAACAAAATAGAAAAAAATTACAAATATTTCACTCATAAAGACAGTCATTTGTTTAATTCCTAAAGAAATCAGTGTTTATGAACAAATCAGTTGAGTGAATGATTCATTGCTTCACTCATAAGCTGCATCCAAATATGCATACGTCCCTACTATAGTAGGCAAAAAACAATATGTGAAAAAGTATTTCTGAATTCTCAGTATTCATAAAACAGTTGGTACATACACGCATTTATACAATATAGAACATACTTTATTAATGGTTATGAAAGTGTTCTTATTCAAATATAGTACCTCAGTATGTGACGCAGCTATAAAAATGGTCAAATTTTTTTCGTTAATGAACCTTTCTTTTGAACAAATCGACAAAGTGAATGATTCAATGACTTGCTATTAAGGACAGTCAACTTTTTCGTTCCTCAATATATCAGCACTTTTGTTTGAATCTCTTCATTGAACAATTCAAATGGCTTACTCATAAAGCTGGTCAGTTGTCGCCACCTACTGGCGTAACAGTGTAACTTGCAGAAAGATTCACTAAAAAACTAAACTAACCCCTGCCACTGTCTTATCATTAACAGAAAAACAACAACAAAAACAAAAAAAGAAATTTCCAGCGGGGTGTTTGAGTCTGGTGTGTGTGTGTTTGGGTTCCCCTGCTAAGTAAACTCAGGGCCATGCTACACTTAGTTAAGAATAGATAGCTGCAGGTGTGTGTTTGCTGTTATCTCTGTACATATATGGCAGACACTGGAAAAGTGTGTGAAATATTTAAGATGGAATATGGAGGAAATCCCTCTCTCTCTCTCTCTCTCTTTCTCCTTTGGCTTCACACCTCTATTTCGCTCTTTACTTATTTCCCGTTTCAGGTTGCTACTTCCTGTCAGGTTAGCTAGTGCCAGTAGCTGGTCTCTCTCTCTTTCTGCTATTGAGAGGAGCACTGAGGGGGCAGCTGTTGTGCTGTCTGTGTATCAGAGCTGCTAAACATTCCCCGGCTGCTCAGCTGTCATCAACGGCTGTGGACCGGAGGCCTCTGTGTGTGTGTGTGTGTGTGTGTGTGTGTGTAAGAACCAGTGTGTAAATGAGTGTGGGTGAAAGAGAGGCTGTTTGTGCTGAAAGTGGTGAGTGTGAAAGATAGTATTCATATTGGTTAATGCTGATGATTTGAACTTGTATCTATGCACTGTATACCCAGTATGTATTTATTACGACTGGCAAAGTTCATTTATGAGGTTCATGAAATTTAATGCAATATTTCAATGTTAAAAGAACTTGTATTCCAGTGCAATATGCAGAAGCAAATATACAGTAAGTCATTTGTTGAGGTCTGTAAGATTTCTTTTGAGAGAAATTAATACTTTTATTCAGCAAGGATGCATTAAATTGATCCAAAGTGACAGAAGAGCGATGTATAATGTTAGAAAACATTTATGTTTCACATAACTGCTGTTGTTTTGAACTTTGTTACATTAAAGAATCCTAAAAAAATATATACCATGATTTCCACAAAAATATAAGCACTTGAGCACCAAATAAATTACATTTAAAAATAGAAAATAGAAAACAATTAAATTATAATACTATTACTGTATTATTGTATGTTTGATCAAATAAATGCAGCCTTGGTGAGCATAAGAGACTTCTTAAAACACATACATTTTGGTGATGCCAACCTTTTGAATGGTAGTTTATATATATATATGATCACCAGGATTTATGTGTTTTAAGACGTCTCTAATTTCTAATTTTTTCTTGCTTTTATAATATATTTAAAAGCAAGAAAAAAAATATAAAAGTGAATAGCGAAAAGAAAAAGCTTCCCATATCTATCCAAGTCTTTCACCGCAAATTCATCTGTCACTTGGTAGAAGTGAATCAAATCAGACAGACGGTAACCTAGACAGGTTGTGTAACATCCCTCTTATTCTCAAAAAGCAATTGTATTTTACTAGGTAAAAGACAATATGACTGTGACTGCATGAAAAATGGTGGTTAAGGACTGTATTGGGTCGCCACTTGATGTCCAATATAAAATATGGGTCCTGAAGCAAACCCAGTTGATGTAAAGGACGGACTCATACACCTTGCCTTAGGCTCTGTTTCTGTGCTGCAGTTATTGAGGCTTATAAAGGCAAGGCAAGGCAAGGCAAGTTTATTTGTATAGCACATTTCATACACAATGGTAATTCAAAGTGCTTTACATAAAAGAAAAGAAAAAAAATAATCACAACAATAAAACAAGGAATTTAAAAACTTTGAAAAAACATAAAGCACTGATGCAGAGACTAGACAGATTGAAGCTGCTTCACTCACACACACTCGCGCACAGATGGGGTGTGTCCTGTCGTCTTTGACAGACAGCCACCAGTGGACCGCTGATCTTCATCTCTCATCCGTTGCAGAGGGACAAAGGTCATGTGTAAATCACTCTCTCACTTCCTCTCTATCTCCCTCTGTCTCTCACTATCACACAAACCCTCTGTCCTTCTCTTGCTGTCTGCAGGATTAGATATTTAATCTGGTTTGTACTGGCCGTGTGTATGTATCGGCATACAATGCAGCTCAGGGCAAAACCATTCAATTAAAATGTTCTGTTGGACAGAGAGAGACAGAGAGAGAGAGAGAGAGAGAGAGAGAGAGAGAGAGAGATGGTTAAGGGACATTTTAGATCTCTATTCAAATTTACACTAATCACATGTAATAAGTCCAAGAACATATGTAGGACATTTAAATATCAACAAGCTATTATTCTGACAAGAGCTGTTATTTTCACATCAGGTAACATGAAATTAAGTTCAGTAAAATTAAACAGCAGACCATTTCACTGTGATATTCTTTTCAGGCTCTATATGCATTATAACTATAGGCTAAAGCATGATTACACAGCAGACTGAAATAACGTCACATACCCACAACAGAAATGTATAGGGAACAAGGGAGTGTCTCTAAAGGTTATTTCTAGCCCTGGAGTCAGACAATCTGTTATTATCAGCTTTTAATGTATTGTGAACCATTGTGAGCCAAATCTTACTCATTTTACGTCAGCTTACTGAGAGAGAGAGAGTTAGCAGCACAGTGATTGCCACAGTATGAGGGACAGCGAGTGGTCTGACTTCTGTCTCTTTCTCTCACCAAGCTCTTTTGCTATTGCTTGTTTTTATTCAGTTGTTAATATAATTTTAATATAATAAACAACATAAAAAGGGGTTTTCTGATCTCAGCTTGTTTAAGTGTTGGTCAAGATGGTGTTCAGCTGAACTCTGCAACAAAAATGTCTTTATTAGCATAACAGTCTAGCCAAACCAATTTGGCCTGGATGGGAGACCAGACCATATATATTTAATTTGTCTTCCAT